TCATCTAGTAATGAATTAATTATTGCCCAATTTTCGTAATTTTTCATTTTTTTGGGCAGAAGTTATTTGCATTTTAAAATCGTGAAAATAAGCAAAGTGACAGTTTTAATTGCTTATTTTTTAACATTTATGAAGAAAAAAGGAAGAAAGTGATAAGAAAAACTAAAAGTTAATCACAGGTACTTTATATTTCATAAGGTTTTATTCAATTTAATGATTTCTCTTTCTCACATTTAGTGAATGAAATTTGCAAAATTAGGTTATTTGGCAGGTGAACTTTAAAATCCTTTTTTATTTAATATTTCTTATTAATAATTGTTTCTATCAATTTATAATAATAAAACAATTCATTCTTAATAAATTCTTATAATTTTTTTACATTTTTATAGTAAATTATGTGTTTTCTTTAATATTTTCTAATAGATGAAAATGTGACAGTTTTTACGACTTCATATACTTTAGATGCTTATTTTACAATAAATATAAAAAATATTTAAAAAATTCTTTTTGTTCGGTGATCCTAATATCTTTAACATCATTCCTGCAAAATATTATAATTTTTTAAAATTAGTCAGCAACGACTTTAGTCGAAATATAATAGAATGACTCATAAACATAAATGTACATAGGTGGTTAGACTTTAAATAGTGAAAAAAAGTTCATCAAAAAAACTAAAAATGTTAGAAAAATCTCTTATAATTAATAAATTAACTATTCTATAGTTGATTTATCCATTATTTAAGTTGAATTAAATCGTAAATTGTTCAATTATTAATGATAAATATGCGAACTGTGAGACCTGTCAATGTATTGGTAACATGCGTGATACTTGTAGCAGACTACGATTGAGGCTGGAGTCCCATGACAGCGTTTTGCGTTGCGTTTTGTAACTAGGCCATGAGTGTGAGAGAGATGGAGATATATGTTTGCTATATTTGCACTTATAGCCTAGTTACAAAACGTAACGCAAAACGCTACCATGGGACTCCAGCCTGAGTGCAAATATAGCAAACGTATACACTGTAAAAAAAGAGCGTCTTGGTTTAAGACGTTTACGTGGTCACTTCTAAGACGTTTATAAGCGTCTTATTTGCCTTCTAAAATGCATGTATTTGGAGGTTATGTTTTTCATTTAAGACGCTCAAATAAGACGCTTATTCACATAAGACGTTTATAAACGTCTAAACGTCTTATTTTAAGACGCCATTTTTTGCAGTGTATCTCCATCCCTCTCACACGCATGGCCTAGTTACAAAACGCAACGCAAAACGCTGTCATGGAACTCCAGCCTGACTACGATCATATTCTGAACAGCAGAACGAAAGGAACTGATTTGGATAAACGCGCGAAGTTTCAAAATGATGTGTAAATGGGTGATTCTACAAAAGAGGGAATTTTGATGTGTGAAGCATGTTTTGTATATTAATTTTGGAAAGAATAAGGGAGCATTTATACCTTCGATAAAAATTTCCAGAACGGAAAATTTTTCATTGGAGTAAGAGAGACAGCCCAATGGGAAACATACCATTGGCGCATGAATGGCCCAACATTGGGAGCCAAAGTGCCAATAATAACGTTCTAAAGGTAACCAATAGTGGACGACTACTGGGAGATGTTTGGGATGATCACGCCATTGCCAATACTAGGAAACCAATTATCACCCATTATTGTCAACCAAGAGACAAACTATGGTACAAGAATATATGGTCAAACATTGGCAGCAATCATTGGGTCATTACTGGCGTCCAGATCTCAATATAAGAATTTGAACACTTGGTTAAATAGTGGCAATAATTATTGGCCCATTACTGGCGACCAGGTATTAAGCTAAATTTTTAAATAGTTGGTTAAATATTGGCAGTGATTATTGGCCCATTATTGGCTACCAGATCTTAATCTAAATTTTTGAAAATTGGTTAAATAGTGTCAATAATTATTGACCCTTAACTGGCGACCAGGCATTAAGCTAAATGTTTTAAACAATTGGTTAAATCTTGGCAGTAATTATTGATCTATTATTAGTAGACAAATTTTAGCCTAGGTAAAATAATAACCTTATTATACTTTAGTAAATATTGAAAATAATTTTATCCTGATATTCAAAAGAAGTACTCAATAATCTTACTAAATTAAAGTTTTACAAAAAGTGTAATAGTATTTTAAAATAGAAATTTATTTTACTTTTAAAAATGTACACAGCATTTAATAAACAATAAATAACAATTATTTAAAGTATAATTTTATTATATATTTAACACTCGTTGTAGTCTCTTGTAAAAGTCAAGTGCCTAACCCACTGAATTAGCATTCGGTTGAAATATAAATAAATACAATATTAATAAACTAAGCAAGTAAAATTGTAGTGTTGTTAGTGAATGAGAGTTTATATGTCGCAAATTATAATTATATTTAAGTTATGTTTTCAAAATAAAAATTATTGTTATTATTCTACATAATACAATACAAATATTATTCTACATGGTGAAGAAAATTTAGAGCTTGCTTCTTTCCATTTAGTTCCAGAAGAACGCATTTATTCCGTACTTGATTAATGGAAATTAATTCTTGCTTAGTGCTTTCCAATCCCAATTTAAAGATTCCTACAGCCGTCGAATTACAAGGATAATCAAAAGAGTTTCCTAAATTTTTAATACTGCATCCCTGAATTAAAATGTCATCTTCTCTTTTAAAAATTCTCTCCACTTTAAAAAATTTTTCATTATTTAGCATTATAATATTGTCAGGGTGAAATGTTGTTACTTTTATGTCTCTCAAAGTCACACTTTTAATTTCCTCGTTTACCTCATGTAACTGTTCAATGTAAATCTTTTTTTTCCTCTCAACAGGGTTATTTACTGCGAATTTCAAATTATTTGATGATTGTGGACAATTTTCCATTTCTGCAATCCTTTTCACAAGTTGAGGAACAATATCTTTTCGTCCTTTTATAAGAGACTTTAATAATCCCAAGCAATTCTCAAATGGAAAAGCAGAAAATTCTGACAATGACGCTTTCATATATTCAACGTCATCAGCGACGTGAATCAAATTGTGATGATTTATTGTTTGACAATGGTTGCCGTAGAACGTAGGCATCAAAACAAAAAATTGTGTTAAAAGTGTTCTTGCATAACTTACATATTTAAGTGCCAGGTCTGATGAACATAAAATCCGACAAGCTACGAATAGTAGCATGAAGTGTTTATAAGAATCTCTTGTTAAAATATGTTTAAAAATAATTTCACCAGCGTATAATAAAAAAAGCGATATTGTGTGGCTTTCCAATTGGATAGATCCTCAAGTTTTAGATTTTTTCTTTGAAATTCAGATGTTATTCCAGATGAAACGTCATCAAGCGAAGAAGAAAGCAACTTTCGTTTTTTTGAACCTATTTTTGCAATTCGATTTGACGTACTTACTAACTGCTCCAAAATATATTTTATAACTCCTTCGAAAAGCAAATGCATGGAATCTAAAAACACATCTTTTACAGGGTCAAAATCAGTCAATTTCAGTAAATAACAATCCTTTACGTGATGATCAGCTTGAGTTTTATTTCTGAAGGAATCGTTTGTTCGTAATTTAGAGTTGATTTTTGTAAATACTCTCCTATTATTTACAGTAATTCCATTTACTTCGCATCGTTCACATGTACAAAATCCAGTATGACCTTTGCAGCCCTTAATAAAAGATCTTGCTGGTGTATCGCAAACAAATCCTTGGAACTGTACCACATATAATGTCTCCTCTATTTCTATACCATTTGTTAAAAGACTATTCATTTCTTCCACAAACTGAAAAAAAAATTCTTTTGCAGAACCTGGTTTTGAATTGCCTCCAAACAAAGCTATAATAAAGGGCGATGATTTATAATCTTTATGATTGACAATTCCTAATATAGGCCATAACTGTTCCTTAGAATTATTGAAAATCTCCATTCCGTCCACGTTAACAATTATGCAAATTTTACTTTCAATATAAACTGATGGATTAATAATTTTACGCAATGAGTCAGCAATACCAAAATATGCAAAGCATCCAAGTTTTCCTCTCGCACTTTTCATAACACGTATATCGAAATTTGTCTTTGAATTTGATGGAACAAGAGTAGCTACTGACTTAGGTAACTCGCCGTGACCAGATTCTTTTAAATCTATTAACAAATGTTCTATGCAATTTCGCGTTAAATTTTTCCTGAACTTTATGGCCCAAACATTCAATCTAGTTCTTAAATTTTCCAATGAATTTATGTCTTGATTTACACATATCGATTGTGAAATATTAGAAGAACACTCAGATTCGTCATTTTCTGCAGCATTATCCAGTACATCATCATTATCGTCGAATTGATCGTTAAAATCTTCAAGATATTTCAAAGAGTCATTTATTCGATCATCAATTTTATTATCTTCAGTGCGATCGTCATTATTATCGATGTTATTACTATTATTATTAAAAATTAATTCTTGAATAGCTTGGGGAGTTTCAGAACTTTGAATTTGACAAGAATCATTATTAGTATCTTCTATGCGTCGTTTTTTATTATTAACTTCATAATTTGTTGAAATTTGACTTTTCATAAAAATAAAATCCGACTTGCTATTATTTTCACTATAATTTCCTTCATATGAATTAATTTCACTATAATGCGAAACATTATTAAGCTCACTAACAGTTCGTTTTCTTTTATTGACGATAGATTCATTATTTTCCTCATAACAATTAGTTCTTGAAATACGTTTCATAAAACGATATTTTTTCGTTCGGTCATAATTAGACATTCTTTTTAAGTATCTAAAAGAAAAATAAATTACATTTTATTAACATTAATTATTATTAATTTAATAATATGAATAACTGTAAAATTAATGGCTATCTAAAATTATTATTATTATTTATATATATATATAGCTCAACTTACGACAATAAAAATTTTCGAATCAAAAAATTTTAATTTGACAAGCGATACAATTTTAGAAAGACACCAATTGTTTTTTTACACATAAATTGATACATGAATTTTGTTACTATGTAAACAATTGAATAAAAATTTTGACAAACGAAAAATCCAACGTTACTATGCAAACAATTGAATACAAATTTTGACAAACAAAAAATCAAACGTCAAATTATTTGAAAGGAAGCAGCAAGAATCATTTTATCCAAAAGTAAAATGAATACTGCCAATAAGTTCGCGCTTTTAGAGTTCCCAAAGAGCTCCGTAAATTTAAAGAAATTTAAATTTTTTAAATTAAAAAAATGTGTCGAAATTGTGCCTTTGTCTTGGGTATTTTATACAAAAAAATCACAGGAGTTACGTTGTAAATACCCAGGAGAAGAGGATTACTCAAAGGTTGACATGTGGGTAAAGGAAGGAATTGATCCTTTAGAAACCTGGAAACACTTTCCAGCAAATATGATTAAAGAAGCTCGTAAGTATTATATATTTTTCAATTATTGTTTAAAAAAATATATATATACGCATTTATTTTGCAATTTTTTTTCTTACACTTTAAGGTTATTTTCATATAAATCGTTAAATAAAATGGAATGGTTTTCTTTATATAATTAGTTGCATATTCTAATTTTATTTCTTAATATTTCATTTCATTTCAAATTTTGTTACTATTTTTAAAGGAGACTATGATCAAGCAAAGAGGAGATACGACAGAATGTGCTTGGATGATGCGGTTGAGAGCAGCAGTAATACTGAGTTTGAAAATCACGTAGAAGTTCAGGAAAAATTGGAAGTATTATCTCCAGAAAATGCAAAATCAATTTTACATCAAATTCAAGGACTCAAAAAAAATGATGACATCCAAGTTTCAGGCATAAAGAAATTAATAATAAATTTTGTTCCTTTAATTAATAATATAATAATATTTAATTTTATTATTATTTAATATTTAATTATTACATTTCCATTATTTAAATTTTGTTTTAGCTATTCAAGATTTGCAGTCATCCAGTGAAGCTTCTACACCTGAAAAGAGACCAAAGATAAAGGCAATCGAAATCCTAAAACCAGGAGTGCCAAAAATCCCGGAGAGTATGTTATGTTTCTAACTATTTTTTATAACCTTTAAACTTTTGAAATTATTATTTATATATTTATATTTATTATTTATTAATATTATTTTATTTTTTATGAAATAATTACAATAAATTATTAATTATTTTTTATTTTACTATAATATTTATTAATATAAATAATAATATTATTTTAATACATATGATTTTTTAAAACTAGATAATCGATTAACAAATGTGGTTAACTTTTCATCTTCAAGTGAGGATGAGTTTAAGAATCAGGTTTCTCCAAAAAAAGCCTTTCTTCTAAAATTAAAAGCAAGTACCTGTTATAAATGTGAAAATATTATTAATTTAAAGTAGTATTTATCTTTTGAAATTATTTTTAAGTCTTTTTATTATTTTATTATTATTTATTACTATTTGTTATAATTTTTATTAGTATTTATCAATTATTTATTACTATTTCTTAGAATTTATTATTATTGTTATTATTATTTTTATTATGTATTACTTATTAATATTTCTTATTATTTATTTTATTTATTATTATTACTTTAACTCTTTAAATTTAACGATTTTAAAATTTCCTGATTGGTATTTATATTATTTAATCAATTTTTATTAATCAGCTAATTCATTTATTATTAACTTATTTTAATAAAAACTTTTTATGTAAATAAAAATTTATATTCCAGGAAAGTCGCTTTTTAGGGATACAAGGATTCACAAGAAAAATAAATTTGGGGAAGAATCGAAATTCGATTGTGAAAGCTCATCAAGCTCTAGTGAATCCGAAGATTCACCTATTTCAAAATCAAACATTCAAAATTGTAAGGAAGTTTTTGATATTATATATTATAAGATCTCAATTTACTTTTAATTGTTTGCGTTTTAAATTAATTGCAGTTACTGACATAACTGACTTTATCGAAAGTATATGGAGAAAAGATTAATGGGATACATAGATGGAAAATTTTTAAATCTGTTACGTCGAATCCAGTATGATATTAGTCAACGAACCCAAGAAATTTTGAAAACGGTGAATCAGGTTGGAGTTGGATCCCAAATTAAATCTTTTTTAGAAAACCCTTCAATGGATGAGCTTCCAATTGAATCATTGGAAGATTTTCTAAAGTTTGACGAAAAATTAAAGAATAGCACAGATTTGCAAGATAGTTTGGTAAATTTAAAAATGTTAATTTATAATTTTTAATTTATTATTACAGTCACTTAATTTTTTAGAGTGAAAAAATTCATATTTACAACAAATTTCGTTCTGTCAAATTTTTCTGGAAAATTAATAACTTTAAACTATACTTAAAATTATTTGTTTTTTTTATATTTTTAGAAAACTCAAATTTTGCGAGATATAGCTGGTGCAACAAATTTACGCGATGCTGTAAAATCCATCATGCCCAAAATTATAAAAAAAGATGTGCAGCAAAAGTATTCCGGAAAAGGAAAAACGATAAAGGGGAAGGGGAAATTGAATTATTCCAAAACAAATACGTTTTCCTGTATTAAAGGTAATTTCGAAATTTTTTCCCTGTTAAACTAAAATTTTGTCAATTGTTTTTACAAAATATAGAAAATTAAATTAGTTTTGAATCCTTATTAATTAAAGTTACTCTCCAAATTAAAGTCACTGTAGTTTATTTTTTATTATAATTGACACTTATTACATTTTACAGCTGCAACACTTTTTAAACTCGAGGAAACGAAGGAGAACGATTTGAGCAGTGCCATAGGAATATGGTTGTCCCAAGCTGGAGACAGGGAAGGAGGAAGAAAAGAGAGAGCGTCAACAAGTAAAGAATTGCCGACAGAGAATACAAATATCGAAGAAAATCAAACTGAAGATGGAGAAATTACAGTTGAGATGAATGTGAATGAAAATGTCTGATTACTTTAATTCATTTAAATTCATTAAAATTATTTAAAAAAAAATTATAATTATTATTGCTATAATATAATCGCATTATCATTAAAATTATGTTACAATTATGAAAGAAGTTTGCTTGTTAATTAATTAATTAATTATGTTAATTTTCACTTAAAGAGGATTAAATAAATAATGAAAAAATGTTTGACAATTTGGTGTTATTTCTTAAGTTGTAATAATAATTATTATAATAATAAATAATAATAATTCTAAAATTTTTTAATAAATTTCTTTAAATTATTTAAAAATTTAAATAATTTTTAAATTCAGGCAAAATTTTTTTAGTTATTCAGTTTTATTGATTTTTTATTATTTATTATATTAGCATATGTTAGGCTAAAATTTGGCTGCTGTTAATGGGCCAATAATTATTGCCAATATTTAACAAACAATAAAAATATTTAGGTTAAGATTTGGTAAAAAATAATGGGCCAATAATCACTGTCAATATTTAACCAACTGTTTAAACATTTACGTTATTGTCTGGTCGCCAGTAATGGGCCAATAATTAATGCCACTATTTATCCAAGTGTTCAAATTCTTATATTGACATCTGGACGCCAGTAATGGCCCAATGATTACTGCCAACGTTTGACCATAGAATCCATATATCCAGACAAATTCTTGGTTGCCAACATTGGTCCAAATATGGTTGCCCAGTATTGGTGACGACGTGATCATCCCAAGTATCTCCCAGTGATAAACCCATATTGGGAATAAATATTAAGCCAATAAATATCCCAATCTTGGGCCATCATTACGCCAATGGTCACCATTGGCAAATTTCCCATTGGGTGACTGCGAATTCGTAACCTGCGACACTACAAAACCCCCAAGTAAGTAGTTTTCAATGATTTTAAAGTGAATTTTAAACATTTGTCTGCCATATTGGATCCACCATTTTGAATTTTGAAAAACTGACATTAGATTCTTAATCAGCAACCCCGAAAACCCCGGATAACGATTTTTAGACGAATACGATAAGTTTTTTCAAAAGTCGTCCGCCATATTGGATCCGCCATTTTGAATGTTAAAAAACTGACATTGGATTCTTAATCAGCAACCCCGTAAACCCCCGAGTAACCAATTTTATAAAAATCCATTCATTAATTTTTATGTTAATGTGAATTTTCTTGACACGATTTTAATTCTCTGGATAAATTATTTATAAATAACCATAACTTTTGTAATTTTTAATTATTTGTCTGGCCAGTTATGGATGTCTTTATTAGTACCATTAACTTGAAGTTAAAATACTTTTCAGACCTTAAATGAGAAAAAAATGTTGTGTCCAAATTTTCTTGATTTTCGTCCTTCGTTTGTTGAATCAACCATATAGTAAATCCAAATCTGGCAGGGTAGCTATCTACGTAGTTATAGTTTTTTACGTAGATATGCTTTTTAGTAAGGATTCGTCGCGATTTTTCTCTTAATTAATTAGCACATCTACAGTTTTGCATATTTGCAATGAAAAACCATTTTCGTGCTATTTCAACAACCAGAAAAAAGAGAAGTAATGAAAACGAAGTTCCTGAAGTAGTCAAGTCTAAAAGAAGACACATGTTTCTAAGGAAAAAAAGAATGTTGTGTCAGGCTGGAGTCCCATGGCAGCGTTTTGCGTTGCGTTTTGTAACTAGGCCATGAGTGCAAATATAGCAAACATATATATCTCCATCTGTCTCACACTCATTGCCTAGTTACAAAACGCAACGCAAAACGCTGCCATGGGACTCCAGCCTTAGGGTGGAGTCCCATGACAGCGTTTTGCGTTGCGTCGTAATGGGAAAGAAAAAGACGCAAATATACGTTTGCTGCATTCTCTCTCATTACAACGCAACGCAAAACGCTGCCATGGGACTGCGGCCTTAACCCCTGTAGCGCATAATATTCATAATATCACTAAAGATATCCAACGAAAACATTTTCGTGCAGTCATAAAATTAAAAAGGTATCAGTCTTGAATTGTATAAATAATTGAACAACAAAATAAACAGGGTTTGCTGATTAAAAATATAAAACTTATGGATTTATTTATTTACATTTAAAATACAGGATGGCCACTGGATCGGTAGACTGGTAAATTACAGTGAATTTTTAAGTTTTTTTTCAATTTTTCCATGTTTATGGAATTTTGAAATTTTGTTTAAGTCACTGCTAGATAACAATTTGAAATTGATATGCGTCTCATCTCTCATATCGCTCGCATGTATGAGGTTTCTTTTCGCACTCGTGCCTTCTCTGATACAGACAGATGCGTCCTCATATGAGACGCATACGCTCGCATGTCTTAAAGGTGCAAGATGCATGAGGCTGAAATGCGAATCTCGTGTGTTTTTTAAGGATTATTTATGATAAATATATTGTAAAAAATTAAATACAAAAAACTAAGGTTAAATTTAAAAATGTTTCATTAAAATTTTTTATTTCAATAATATAAACATGGCATTAATACTGAACATTTTTCTCTTAAGTCTTAAACATACATAACCTCCTAAATAACCTATAATAAACATTAACTGAGATCATAATTGGTAATAAATATAAACTTTTCAACACGAATTCAACAAAAGTCAACTGTATAATAATATAATAAATTAACAACTTGGACTGCGTCTAAGAGCCTTTCTATTCGAAGCAAATCAACTTTAAATGCCCTTATTCGATATGACTGTTTTGTTACTTACTGCTTCAATTTAAAACAAAAGTTTAAATATGCATATATAATTAGTATTATTTTTATTTTACCCTACTAAAAATAAAATCAGGAATCGTCATGAATGGTCAGAATTTCTGAACATTCCTGAACAGTCTCACCACTTCTGACGTTTTCGAACGTTTCTCACCATTCCCCGGCTGAAAATCCTTGCTCAAGATCATACGTAAGAACATGTGCAAGAACGTTGATAAGATGATCTTGCACACGAACTTGTGTATGTTCAGCCCAAGGATTTGGAACAAAGAACATGTGCTAGAACATGCATAAGAGTCCATACCGAGAGTAAGTAAAACTATCTATTAGACTCATGAACTTGTACAAATCATATACATATAAGTTCATGTGCAAGATCCTGTACAATTTAATTAAAAACTTTAAAGGCTGCGCAGTAGTTTTCTATGGCTTCTGCAGCTGCGCAGTTATTTTTAGATCGTATATGTGGAGAGTGACTAAAGACAATGTTAAAAATTTCCTTCTATTTTGCATAAATAAAAAAGTTAATAAAAGATAATAATAAGATAATATTATTAATTATACATGAACTTATACACGGAAAAACCTTTGAGAAGTCTGCCTTCCCACTGTCACAAAATTTCGCTTCTCACTGCATGGAAAGTCTGATCGCCCGCCACTCGGTGCGTAGCATTACCGTTTTCGATAGAC